GCAGGAGTCTAGCACGGGAAATTCAAGGGCTATACTCATAACTAATCTAAACTAGAAAAGCTAATATTGAAACACAAATCTTTGCATCATATCTAGAATAATCATTATGCTTCTGTGTAAATGAAAGCATCTGATCTGGAAAATTATGGCAGTCACTGTGATTTATGCCAGTATACAAGTCACAGAAATAATATCACCTAAAGTGATAAACTAAAAAGAAAATACCAAACAATTATTTTTGCCTTTCCACAGTGGCAATGCATCTTCTTTGGTTCTTTGCTCTCACGGTTAATTTTTGTGATATCTGTCTGTGATCGTTCAGATTTCGTGACTCAAGTGACAGTGCAAAGATTTGGTGTTGTACTTCTCTACTTTCAGTAGGTTCCACAAGTACAGTCTGGGAGCTGTATACTCACATAATCCCTTTTTTTTATTTCTGGGGTTAATCCTGCACAACCTAGTCAACCATTTCCTATTCAGTGAGTAAGTGCTTGAGTCCTTCCACTGGTGGTCACGGTAAAAACTCTCCTTTTCACAATTTGTTACTTGCTTCACGGTAACTAAGAGCAGAAGACACAAGAAAGCGTATCGGCTCCCTAGGGAATCTTTACAAGATGAAGCCACTAGAATAGAATTTAAAACAACTCAAAATGTTCACATAAGATTTTAGAATTGACACAGCTCTTAAAAAAAGCCCCGCTGTAACTTGCTGGCAGCATCCTATTGAGAAATCCTGCTCTGAGCTTAAAGTTGGTGTTTAGGGACTAAAAATGAGGTGCTTTCTGCTTCATTCTGTATGGTATTACAAAGCAGGGATGGCTCATTTAAAAACTTTTCAAGGGTCTGTTCTATACAAGCTCTTACATGGAGCTCATCTGTTTGTGTAAGTGCCCCAGAATCCATTGTTGTGAATTGGGACAAGTAAAAAAGGAGTTTTGATGGTACCATCTGCACAGCCACGGTGACGTGACTGCTGCTCAGACAACTGCTTTGGACCTGCAGGATAACATCCTGCGCCCTGTTTTCTGCTGATCACAGAGACAAAATGAAATAGCTAGGGGAGATGTCCTCATTTTTCTACACCAAGAGACTGACCTTCACTGCGGCATATGGTGGAAGAGTTGGTGGCTCTTCTCCCATATGCAGACGTGTTTTTTCATTAAATGAAAGAGCAATGCCAATATGCCACATAGCACAAAAGAAATCACACCAACCGTGGGAAATGTTCAGGACAACTCTATTAGGATTGAGCTCTCAGCAATCTTGCATTTAGACAATAAATCATTTGTCAAAAACACCTGATCTAGACTAACGTTTTGCTAAGTCTAAAGCCCTGAAAATCAAAATTGCAATCATGGCTATACAGATTTAAAACTGAAAAAAATAGCATGCATGATTTACATAACTCTTACAGAATGCTATAGGTATTTTAGCTGTATTCCCCTGAAACACAGAACATGGTAGAAACCACATGAAACAGAAACAACAGAAGTTACAGCAGAGTTGGGAGGTTTGAGCACAGCGAAAGGAGCCGCGTGTAGTGTGGCCAAGAGCAGAACCCACAGGGACCCTGTGGACCCAACCCATGCCAAAAGTAGAGATAATTAAGGAGATGCATAAAGCACAAGATCAAAACTGTTTAAATAGTTTTGCAAAGATGCACTCCTTATTTCTTTAAGTTTTGTAAATGTTTTTATCACTGCTGAAAAGGAGAATTTTAAATATTGTACTGTTTGTAGCGTGACAGACAGCGGTTTGCTCCCACCCAGTGGATGCAGCATTTCACAGCTCTGTGCTGCTCCCAGAGTTGGTTTCTGCTCCGGGTGCTGTCACTGGCAGAGGACAAACAAGACCAGAAGCAGACCCTTTCCCAGACTGTGGGGAGCAGCTGGGTTCACTGTGGGAAAGGACGCTGCGCCTCCTAGGAACTCTTTTTCTATCAGAATGGTGGTACTACTGTGAGGGATTTAAAGACCAAATAAACTCCAAATCTAATACAGTCATGGACCCAAAGGAAGAAAGGCTTTGTTGCCATCAACAGCTTAAAAATCAGTTCAAAAATTCTATGAGAACAATGTAATGAGATTCCCAGGAACCTTATTAATGTTCTGTGGCTCTGCCTTGTCTTAGAAACCTGTGCACATCAACAGAAAGTTCAGCTTTTATCGAGTCCTAAATACGGATCTTATTTTTCATTTAAACTCGGTCAAGGATGATACCCACATGTGATCTCCCTACCCAGCACCGTGCTTTCTAGACAGGAACCGTTCCCCTCATCCACCCCACTTTAAGTCACTTGAAGAAGTTTTCTTACCATTGCAGGGAGCGAGTTTACAAACCCTCACCGACTCTGGCTTTTCTCCATCGCACTGGTCCCCAGCACGGCACGTGATGGGCCGGGTCTCAGTTCCCTCCCCGCAGGTCACAGAGCACTGCGAGACAGACACAGGGCAGGTCAGGACATCGGGCTGTCACTGCAGGGTGCAGCAGTTCATATAGCTGCATCAGCCCAAGCTGGGCTTTCGGGTCAGGCTGTGCATCCCTGGCATTTGTTTTCAGGGTAGAATTTAGTGAAGGCTGCTGTTATGGAGGAAAACGCAGAGGAGGAGGATGGTATCTTCCTTGGTTCTTGCTGAGATTTATTATTACAGCATAGGCTGTACAAGCCCGTGAAGCTGCAAGGCTTTATCTGAACACTGTCCAGCGCAGTGCAGAGCTGTCAGCCCAGAACCCAGCCGCAGAGGCAGGAGCTGTCAGCAAAGGCCCGTTTCTCACCACCGCCTGCCACTCGCCTACCTCAGACCAGGGCCCGGCTTTCCACTGCGCAGGGCACGGTACACGGTTGCACGGCCGGCGGCTCTCGGGGCGATCTCCGCTGCAGTACTTGAAATGGACCGAGCGGTTGGCACCATCGTGAAGGGGCTGGATGCAGCGCACCGTACGGATCTGGTAGCCCGAATTCCCACAGGTCTTGGTGCAGTATTCCCACTCATCTGCTGCCCAGCTGGGAGTAAAAGGGCATAAGATACCATCACAACTTTGACCTATGATCCAAACTGCTGCCGGGTCTTAGTATACACTATTTTTGTGGTGAAACCACTCAGTAAGATCCGTAACCATTCTAATACAGGTAGAAAAACCCATCCATAACACAGGAACCCCAGTCTGGAAAGCTGTCAGCATCCCACCACATCTGGCGTGGGTGAACTTCCACACCTACCACCAGGAGCGATCATTTCTGTCTCTATGTGAGCCATACTCACAGGGGCTGTGTGCATTCCTGGAGATTGCACATTCTACGGATGGGCTTTGGCTTTTTGCTGGCTTCACAGAAGCTGCGATGAACCATTTTGTTATCACTTTTCCTGCGGCACCCGTATTTGGTGTACTGGAACCCTGGAAGGTATTTCAGAAAAATCAGGAACAAACAGGTCCTTGTTATAAATCTTGGTTTAAATATAAGTGTTGTGGACTATTAAATGGTTTTACATGACAGGTGTTTATGAAATATTTAAACACACTCACAATTTGTTCAAGGAGCAGGTCACCAGCTAACCTGGGAACAACCCCAAATCTCACATTAGTGCTCTTGCTACCAGAACACATCCCCTGCTCGACTGTTGTAAGAGTTGAAGTTACTGTGACATTTGCATTCCCTGCTCTTTGCGTCAGAGCAATGGACATACCGTGAATGAAACCTCAGTAGCATAAATGTCTGAGTCTGTACTTCCAAAGCAGCTTTGGGTGCTGAATTTCAACACCTAAACAAGGACTTTTTCTTTCTAGGCTTGAAGTGTGACCCTTCTGAATAATCAGGCACTTGAGGTATTTGAAGCTTGGGCACCCAAAATAACTCTGCTTTTAAAAAAGGAAGCCCAAGGTTTCTAAAGCATTCCCTTCGCCCACTTGTTACTTTCCCACTGTTGGTAATTTATCATTCATTACTAGAAGGTGAGCATCATCTGTTTACCTCCACCGCAGGGCTTGGAGCACTGTGACCAACTCTTCAGCGCCCACTCAAAGGTGTCTGTTTCTTCCTGCAGGACGTTGTTGCTGTTGATAGTTGGCACTGAATCCTCGTGAATGATGTATTTGTACGTCAGGCTCGATCTTGTGTCGTTCTCCCGAGGAATGATCTATTAATAAGCAAATGCAAACAGTGCCACAAAACCAGAGCTCTTATTTACTCCTTTGCAAAGTAAAGAAACCAAGGCTGGGCTCTTAGGAGAACCATGGAAACTGCCGGTTAACTAACTGGGGAAAAATTGATTTTAATCTTCACAGTTAGAACTAACAATAGTAAGATCAACACAGAGCCACTTCAAATGAGACCCTTCTAGGCTGGCATGCTAAGCTGGCCAAGCAGGACACCATCATTGAGGATGAAAGGATGGTGTGGCCACATAATTTACTTGGCTAAAGAGCAGTGTTGGTCTCAAACGTGGTTTAGTGTGCTGTGCCTTTTCTGGTCCACTCAAAGTGTCTCACTGGTGTCAGACAAAGCAGTATGATGTACTGCCACTGCATGGACAGGCAGCAGCTCACGAGAGGGTAACAGCCAGGGAGAAAAGGGCTTCAGCCATCTCACAGGCACGGGCCTTTCAGAGAGGAATCACACAGCAGGGTTATATTTTAGTGCAAACACCATGCCCTTTTTATAACAGACAAAGCCAGCACCTCCCCACTGCTGGACATGGCACCTACCAGCACCACCACTGCGTCGTGCAAGGGCCCGTCCGTGTGCAGAGTTTCTATGTCGTCCTCTATGCTGTACTCCCACTCCACGCCCAGGTCGATGAACGATCGGGATCTGGCCTCCTCCCCTTTCCCGTTCAGGATGTAGTGTCCTGTAGCCTGGTTCTTAATTGCTAAAAGGATTGAAAGCAGTGGCAGTCGTGCCCATCGTGTCATCAGCTGTCACGGTGGCTGAGCACAACTCGACAGGAGAGATTATAGAAAAACCCCAACACACCAGCAAGTGCTGCAGTGAGTAATTGAGAACAGCATAAACTGTCCTACGTGAGAAAAACCTGAAATGAAACGCTCTGCAAATATAAATTACAAGCTCCCCGGTCTTCTTCCCATTAAAAAAGCTGTTGCTTACAATCTGCAGCAAATAAGAATAATTAAAAATACTGAATTTGATTTGCATAAAAGAGTACAGAGTTTTTACACTGGCAGTGCCAGTTTAAACGTGAGCGATGATCTTTTGTTAGTAAACATGCAAATTATTCAAATGAGAAGTAAATATTTGTTTGCTGAGCTTATGCTGTAGGACTCGGTCCTTAACATGCAATTCTGAAGGCACATATTTACCCTAAACACTTGAATTTGGTTATCTCATTTCTCAGGTTCCTCTGCATGACTGCCTCATGCTTCACATCGTGCCTCAAAGCCACCCCTGAGCAGAGAAACACTTACCAAGAAAGTGAGGAGAAGCCTCGTCTTCTTGGATAAACACATGTCGAGCACCAGGAGGGATGTCAAACATCTTAAGGTACCCTGTGGCATGTGTGGTGGTCAGTGGAGAAAGCAGAGATGGAAAGAAAAAGTAACAGCCGTGGTTAGAGCGCACTGCATTATCCAGCTGCTGCTGCAGAAGAGGGCATCTGGCATCGACCGAGCAGCAGGGTCAGAGAAACGGAGCAAATAGGTTTGTAACGCGTTGGACGGGATGGCCTTGTGCTTTTCCTCTTTCAGAGAGGAGAGAAAGCAGTTACAAATCTATTTGTCACTTGCCCAGCTATGCTGCCATAGGCCATATTCAGGCAAAAACATGTTTCCTATGTTCCTCAGTGTACCAGGGGAGAAAACACAAATCTTCCTGATTATTTCATCCAAATCCCTCATCAGCCAGGCTGTTGGATTTGGGTTCCTGTCATGTCAGATGTTTGTGTGTTAAATGTGTCTGCTTGCTTTGGAGACATCAAAAACTGGAGCAGGGTGGGTGCAGCACAGGGTGTCTGTCACCACACACCAGAACAGGCTTGTCTGTATGGAGTTAACCCAAACTATTTACAACTGTGAAAGTTAAATGCAGCAGTTAAATTTATTTTCCAACCCATAAGTCTCTCTCCCTTATTTTCTTTCTCTTCCCCTTCTGAGGAGGGGAGAGGGGTTAATAGAGAGCGTCTGTGCACCATTTAGTGGCCAGCCCAGCCCTAAGCCACGACAACCACGTAAATGAAAGGGCTGAATTCAACTCTCTAGAGCTAGAAGTAAAAACCTGGTCCAAAAGAAAATTATTCTTATTTTAAATGTCAATTATTTATCAGTCCAAACCACAGGTAAGTAGTGCAACATTAGGCAAGTATTGTCATTAGGAAGGCTAAAATCCCTCCTAGGGATCTGTCAAGAGGTACGTCTGTACCAAGTTTTAAAGAAGAGCACCATAAGCACTCTTGAGTGCTGACTTTTTCATATTTCTATTACTTTAACAACTGCAGATTTAATTATGATAAATCTCTGCAGATCCCTTTTCTACAAGCAAGTTTCTCTCTGTTTTATTCTCTGCTGTGCAACCTCCCAGAGCAGTGCACGTGTGACAAGACTTTTAGTGTTGGTGCACTGCAAACACAAGACACAGCATTTCAGTAATTCTGCTTCTCCCGGGGGATTCTGGGATGAACCAAAGCATTGGGAGCTTTTCATGCACCGACAGACTGCAGCTCCTTGGAAAATCCACGTGAGGAAAATGGAGGGCTATGGATTTGTAAAATCCTGGCCTTGGCTCATGAGGGACTGCACAAACAGCATTTGCCAATCTTTGCCCTGACCGCCTCCGAGCATAGGAAACACAAAGCTTTTGCCTGATTTGGGGTTATCTGCCAATGTCTGCATGGAGGTGAGAACTGCAGCAAGACCTCTTGAGTTGCCACGGATGCCTCTCTTTCTGCAAGCACCTCCAACTTACCCAGTGTATTTTTAGAGTCCTTTGTTTCAGAAAGCGAAACATTGCGAGCTCCTTTGGGCAATGTAAATGCTCCTCTTGTCTTCCCTTAAACAGAACGCCTGTAATTAGTGCTATGGGAGCCCAGTCTTGTGATTTCATTGACTATGTTGCCAGCCAGATGGTCTTTACGAGTTTAAAGTATAAATTAGGTTACGTGTTCAAGTGCGTTTAAAGCAGAATTAGACACATCCAGCAAATTTTAATAGTCAATGAAAGTCAGACCAGTGACAATTCAGGTAGGTGATTTGAAGTTGGATACTTGCAGATTTCATTTTCCAGAAACTTGAATTCTTTTTGGCACCTCTTGCTTAAATGTTTTCCTGTTGGAAGAGGTCAATGAATCTTTTTAATGACTAGATTGCCACGGTGACTGTGAAGCAATAAACATTTCATAAACACTCGTATTGTTCATAAACACTTGCCATAGGTGGCTGATGAACAGCAGCAGTCCCTGAGCTGTCACGCTTTCCCAACGCTGCCAGTGCTGTGCAGACATCAGCCACACGCTGTCACCCGTGAGGTGACACAGGGGTCCTTGGTGGACCCACAGGCAGGCACGCTGAGCCAGTGGCATATTTTGGCCTCTGCTGGCCTCTCATTTGCCCTGTCCATCTCCCAGTAAACTTCTCCAATTGGTTTGTAATAATTAGTAAGTATTTTCAGCAAAATATTTATGTATTTTATTTCCAGTTGCACATTAACTTATCTTTGTCCAAGTTTAGTTCTGCTCACTATCCAGATTTAATTCTTAACGGTGCAGTAAAGCTTGGTTCATGGCAGCAATTACCAGTCTCTGAACTGTTAATGCAGATATTCACATTATCTACCCCTTAGCCTCTCTCCGCTCTGTTTTAAAACACTTTGTTCTACCAGACAGATACTCCTGAAATACCTGCTCCCAGCCACAGAGCAGACACATTTCCCTGTGTCGCTTGCCCAGATTGGGGAAAAAACCCCAACAACATAGGAAAGGCTTAACATACAAACCAGTCATAGCAAAATGTACAAGATAATACTGTCCTGGCTTAACAAATAACTGAATAAATAGACATTTCTGAACAAGTCCGAGGAGATCTTAAATTATTATTAACAGGAAATGTGTTGCAAAATACCCCAGAGCGCAGTCTGGAAGTTATAACTGGGTCACTGGTAGTTCTGAGCCAGCAGAATGCTGTCGTGTGTCCACTGTCAGTCACACAACTCCAAGGGGAGGAGAAATGAGGACTGCAGCCAAAACCATTTCATATTTGGGTCAGAACTCAGCCGAATGGATTTTTAAATTGCTTCATTTAAGGACTATCATTTGTGAGAAAGCATTTACAGAGAGGACCTAAACATGCTCTGCATGGCGAGTGTTTCTCGTACACTTGACTGATCAAGCTTGCTTCTGATAGGGCCTTCACAGGACAGAAATACTGCACTGTTTTAAAGATGTCCTTTCTTTACCGAGGACTGAACTCTCCTGCACATCAGCTTACAGCTTGTGCTTTGCTGTGTTAAAGTCGGCTGCACTTCTGACCGGTAGAAAGCAGTAAGAGTGACAGAAACACCAGAGCAGCAGAAATCACATCCAGAGGCACGAAAATGCTGTTCCTACCGAGCTTTTTGGGAGTGCGGGTAAAGGTCCCCTTCACCGTTCGGCAATGCGAGTTATCTCCACCACAGACACCACACTTATCTTCAACCTTATTGGAACCGATCTCCTTGTCACAGCCCACTTTCTGCAGAAGGAAGAGCCGAAAAGAGAAGGCTTTGTCACTGGCTGCAAGCTTCAGCTGTGGTGGGAAGCAATCTCAAAATTAATTCATAGAGGAAATTACCACCCAACACTGATCTGTTTTATTTAAACACAAAGTACTTGCAAATCTGGTGCTGGATAATGGTTTCCAGGCAAAAAATAGGAATTGATTCTTGCTTTATAGTCACTGTCCTTCAGGACTAAGAAAGATGGGAAAGACAGAAAAACAGACCCAATTCTTTTCAGATACAAAACTGAGTGCAAAAAATGCAAGTGAAACCATCAATTGATAACAAGTGGAGTATTTCCATGGAACAGATCTGTACCACTGCTCTAATTTAATTTACACCTCAAGGAATTATGAGGAATATGACACTGCAAATAGAAAAATACACAACCACAGCACAGTCCAAACTCAGTGAAGCCCTTGGGAAGCTGAACTCACCACGCATTCTCCTCGAACACAGATGCTGTAGGGATCTTTATAGGAACAGCGAGTGCCATCGTGCGCCAGCTGCTTCATATAAGCAACATCCCCGGTTTCTTTGGACTGGCAGTACAGGTGACATCTCTTATTAGCTACGGAGCAAGGAGAGAGAAGTGACTGCATAGATGAACAGCAATCCAGATGTGCTTCATGAAAACGTCCCACTAAAGGACTGAAGAGAGCACGACAGAGATAGAAAGGATGGCTATGGGAGGAAAAAAGCAACTCGTTTGCTTTTCTGTGAATTATGGGCCTATCACTTGGAGATGTTCTCACAGAAATCGCTTCCCTTTATACATATCCTACTGCTTGAGTGGTGCCATGAAGTAAACAAGCAGCAGCCACAATCCAACGTTCACACTTTGCACTCATGCAGATGAGCAGCCATATGGGAGAGGGCAGGAGGTCCCTGATGACCCCAGCAGCAGCTTCCTGCTCTTCACTCCACCAGCAGAGCTCCAGAGCTTGACAGTGCAGTGCATTGAATGCAATGAGCACCCAGCAGCTGTTCCCACAGGAGCTGAGCACTTCAAGGCTCTTGCTGTGTCATGTTCTCAGTAAGAGGAGGATCAAAGTCAGAGGAAACTGGCCTAGGGCTGGGAAATGGCAGCTGTCTCGCATGGCGCCTCCCTTCTTTCCTTCTGGGGACACCCTTTTCCCTGCTTTTTAGTCTCATCTACCCTTGCTCACACATCATTTATTTCTGGTCTCTGCGTGGCTGATGCCCAAGACCCCTCCAAGCTCTGTGAGACTCCAGGAGTGACTTGTAAAAAGGGCAAATACCAGAACTTACAGTCTGGGTGCTCGTATGGCAGCCAGTGGTGTTTGCTGCTCTGGTACTCAAAGTGGGAATTGCGCTGCTGGCATTGCTGTGCTCTGAAGTCCTCAAAGTGCTTCGGACACTCCTCTGTGTTGCAAAGTTGAAACTCAAAATTGACACCAGCGCAATCTTCACCTCCATTAATGGGCCTGGGAAGAGAAAAAAACAATTGAGAGATTCTAAAAGCATCTGGACATTATTAGCTCTGGGGATTTTTCTTCTGTCTTTAGTGAAATTTCACACTATTTTAAGAGACAGTTGGGAAAAAAAGGGGTGTGAGGTGACAGAAATGGAAACAGAGCAGTTGCACTGCACAGATACGGACCTGCAACATAACCTCCGTGCTTGCCCGTGCATCCCGAAATGCAAAAGTAATACATGTGCATATATGTGCTGCCAACAGCTGATTTACCATTAGAGATTATCTATCCTGATTACCTTTCTATTGTCTATCTATACTGAGCTTGCTGAGCTCACACACCGTGTACTCTTCACTCTCTTACACATCAGCTAAATCCCTGGGATGGTTTTCCACAGGTTTTCCTCTGGAAATTCTTGAATTCTCCAAAAATGATCCTGAATCCCTACGAAAGGCCACATTTCAAGGGGCTTCAACAGAATGTGAATTTTGGCAGACTCCATCCAAAAGGTAAATGCCATTTAAAATGACCCCTGTAACGATTCCCACTGCACTGGAACCGCCACCCAGACAGGAGACTCACATGGGGTTGTTGCACTGGCGCGTCCGAAAGCGAACTCCAGTTCCACAGGTCCGTGAGCAGGAGCCAAACTTTGTCCAGGGTCCCCAGTTGCCGTCCTGCTTCAGCTGGTTCGCGTTCTTCCACATGCAGTGCCCTTTGTAGCACCACTGAGAGAAGGTGGGCACAGGAAACAGATGAGAACAGAAGCAACATTCAAATCAAACGTATAATCATAGTAAAATTACAAAATAAAACCCACAGAGGTGAGCAAATGAGCTGTGAGAGGACGTCTCAGAAAGCAGACTGCAAGCAGAGACTTTTTGATCCTTCGATCCCCTCCCTGACAGCCATCTCCTGCTCCATGAC